TTCCTGCTGGGATTCGTCCATGGTTTGCCTGGTTATAGAGGGCAATAAAGCTTTGCAGGATGCAAAAGTTAGGTGTACAAATAAAGCAGGTAAAGGAATTTTTATTGCTTTTTAAATGATTACTAATTGATCTGGCAGTGTTTCCAGCCCAATTAGTCTGTAGATGAATATAATTCATTAAGAGAACCAAAATCAGAATACCACAGTTCTTGTCTCTCAGGAGTCTATCCTTTGTGTCCTTGAGTAACGTCCTTAAATGAAAATTGTACTTGTTCTTGATCTAAGAAAAGTTATTGGTTATTCTACATCTGTCATGACTAAAGAAAGATTAGAACACAGAAGGAGACTATGACTAAGTAGAAAATCTATTCTGAAGAAATGGGTCACTGTTTAAGGGTGGGTGTTCCTTTCCCACCTCTCATTTGTTTCCCACAGGTTAATGAAGTGGCAGTAGAAGACATCCGTCCAAGGCCACAAGGATCCTCTCCAGTTTATGACTATTCTGTAGAAGAAGAATATTTAAAGGCAAGACACTGAGTTTTTATGTAGACATGGCTTTACCAAGTTCATTCAAGAGGCCTTAGCTCCTGGAAGTAGCTGAGACTCTTATGTCATGTAACAGGGTGTTGTTACAGCCATATTGTCTCCATCTTCCCACCAAAATCAGGGCCATGTTAATCAATAGTTTTTTATTGTACTGAACTTCTTGTTGGGAAAGTTTGTGTTTCTTGGCAAAAACCCCCAACATTCCTGAAAGGATCTGTGGCAGAACGTGTCAAGAAATCACAATGCTTTTCCTATTAGAATGTTTAACTCACTTGGATCTAACTAATATGCATTTCAAAATGAACTGTACCTCTTGGTTATTAAAACATAAAGATTGAATTAGTACTGTTGTATTAAGGTAAGTAGGAACAGTCTGAAATTCATGCTGAAGTCAAATAAATGAAAAAAAAAAGTGTATGTTCACAAAGATGAAAGCATGAGAAATGTTCTACATGAGTAACACAGAAAAGCTCCCCATGCCTTCATACACTTGGTCTCTGGCATTCATTTCATGCAAATTTTGGTACAATGCAGGGAGGCTTTGGCATCTAAATTACTACTGGGAATAATATAGTTAGATCATTCACATGGTACATTGCACTTCTAGATCACAATTTTGCTCTGTTGCCATTAAATTCAGCCTCAGCTTTTAGTCTAAACAAAACATTTTGTTTAGACATGATGGATAGTTTTGTTGTACTTTACAACAGGATGACTTCTGAACACTAAATACTTGCAAATTATTTTTCAGCTTCAAGAAGAAAACAAAAAATATTCTGCTGACAAATCAAAACAGAGACATCCACAGGTCAGTCTAAAAGCACTCCGTAGTTTTAGGCATGTGGCTTGCAAAACTGTGAAGTCCATTACAACAACCAGGTGTGGATGGGTGGACAGAGGGAAGGACAAATAGGCAGAGTCACTTTAGATTTGTTTTGACCAGGAACTTCACAAATTGTCTAGTTGTGGCACAGGCACTTGTCCTATTTGGGGGTCCTTCCATAATTCTTTAAAGCATTCTCTAGCCTTCTCCTGTTTGAGTAGAGTACAGCATTAGCTCTTAGTCTGACTTTTCTGGCCTACTGATTCTAATTCAGGTGCTTAACATCTTCACCAAAAATAGAGTCTTTCAGGCCTTTCAGTTTTCATATGTTTCATGTTCTAAAATTTCAGCCTATTTTTTCTGTGGCCCTGATCCAATGTAAACCTAAAAACATGTGCTTAATCCAAATTTCAAGCAGAATCAAACCCACAGCGAACAAGTACGTTCTCTGTTTTAGATAATCCTTCTGAAACTTCTAAAAATTTACCTGAGTACACTCAAATATTTTATTGTAAAATTATGTAGAACACTTTTATACAAATTAATAACAATTATAAATTCACACTTATTTCTATGTTTAGGAGACAATGGAAGTGACCCTGAAAACAGAAGTGGAAGCTGGTGCTAGTGGATTTAGTGTGATGGGTGGAGGAAATGAAGGAATATTTGTCAAAAAAGTACTTAAGGAATCTCCTGCTTCAAAGATATTTAGTCTAAGAGAAGGTACAGTCTAATTTTCTGTTTTGGTTTGGTTTTTAATATCTTAAAATAATCAGGTATGTAATTGTGTGTGCATGTAGGTACGTGCCTGATCTGCCATCTCTATAAGTAATAGAAATAGTAGGTCTCAAACCAACTAACGTTATATATCAGCTTAAATTTTCCATACTAATAATTTGTAAGTTAAGTTTCTTAAATAATAATGAATATACCATAAAAAATAATTGCATTTTCACTGGAACAGTGAAAAAATACATAGAAAGTGATATATACACAACTGAAATTTAGAAAGATTGCAACCTATAATATTAATGAAGAACCTGCCTTTGATTCTTTCATAAAATAGTATGCCACAAAACTACAGTAAATAATGATTTCAACAAGAACAAAAGTCCAAATACTGAAAAATGTAAGAAAAAAAACTTTGTTACTGTCATGATGGTCAGGCACTGGAACAGATTTTCCAGAGAGGTTGTGGAGTCACCATCCTTGGCAATCTTCAAAACCTGACTGTATATAGACCAGCTGTAGATGACCTTTTCTTGAGCAGGATGGTTGGACTAGATGATCTCCAGAGGTCCTTTCCAGTTTAAACTATTCTGTGATTCTATTATGTGAACATAATTTTATATGTTAAACAAACAGAGTGTGATCACATTTTTTAGTGAACATTAATTCAACAGAATTTGAAAAGCTTCATGAAAACACAAACTAAAATTCTGTCTGATTGGACTTGCAGGTGATCAGCTTCTAAGTGCTACAATATTTTTTGATAATATCAAATATGAAGATGCACTCAAGATTCTCCAATATTCCGAGCCATACAGAGTCCAATTCAGCCTCAAAAGAAAAATTGCTGGGAAAGAAGAGCTGGAACACATTCAGTCTGCAGCCCAGTACAAAAAGGAAAGAATAAGCCAGGTAGATATTTGATTACTTTGCAAAGCTTGGGTAGAACTATAGTAATGGTCTGTGTGGAAATAGACCAGAAAATACATACCTGTGTCTTCTTAAGACTTAGACATTTGTTTAAACTTACTAGCATGACTAATAATGAGATTTTTTAGTCTCACACAATACTTCCTGCTTTATAAATATTCTGGGCAAGACTATAGATTTTGGATAAAGTCACAAACTTGCATTGGGGTAGGAAAACATTCTTCTCTAGTGAGCCAGCACTTTTTTTGTTGTTAAGTGTTAACTGATGGAGCAGGTTCAGGTAGGCTCTGTAATATTTCTGTTCAATATTTTTCAAAATGCAGACTATCAGTAAAAAAAAAATATATAAATTAATCAAAAGCTCATAAATTAAATTATTATTTTTTAAAAAAATATTAGTTTAATCACTGATGTCTCCATGGGTGTGATCTGCTCACAGATCTCCATCACACTGAAAATTCTTCTTATCTTCATATACGTATATATATATTGCATATGTATATATTTGTACAGACATATATAGAGAGAGATATATAAACCTCAGTTTACTGCAAGTTTTGCAAAGAATGTAACTCTTCAGAAATTTACATATTACAGTCATATAGTCAATTTCTTTTAATTTCTGACTTTCAGGAATTCTTTATATAACAACTGTGAATAAAACCAACATTTTTCTACATATTTTATAGTATTATGGGTATTTTATTTTCTATTTAATCTATATATATTTTACTTCTAATCTTCTAACTACTATTTCCTCTTTCAGGAAAAAGAGCTCAGTGAGAGCATTCCTGAAGAAACACTTCACGATTCAGGAAAAGCCATTTCAGAAGAAGACAGGGAAACATTAATTGTGAGCCAAAGGGTAGGAAGAAGCAAAAGACCTAAAAAAGACAGACTATCATGGCCAAAATTCCAGTCAATTAAAAATAAAAAGATACTGGGGCACAGAAGATCTCATAGTACATCAGATGCATATGAGCCTGCTATACAGGATATTTCCCCTACAAGCACAGACACGGAATCTCAATTTCAACAAGACATCCATATCAAGGAAAAAAAAGGAAGTCAAAAGAAACTGAAGTTCCCTAGCATTGGATTCAAAATGCACAGATCCAAACCAGAAACACGAGACAAGCAAAAAAAAGAAATAAAAACAACACTGCTATCTGAAAGAGCAGAAATACATAAAGAAGACATCAGACTGGAAAATCCCGAAATACCAACTGTTGAATATACAACATCCCCTGCTTATGAAATCAAAACTGGGGAGGTACATGAAACTTTAACAAAAGACCTAAAAGATATGAAAAATGGCATTCCATCTCATGTAAGAAAAAGCCCTGAAGTTGAAATAAACATTAGAAAAGAGAAAGACAAGGAGTCAACATCAAAATTTACTGTTCCTGAAGTACCAGCTATGACTATACAGATATCACAGCCCAGCTTAGAAACACCTGATCTGAAAGAAATCCCAACTAAACAAACACCACAAGCTTCATCAAAATCACGAAAAAAGAAACAGAAAGGAAGAGCAGGTAAAACAGAAGGAGAAAGTGAAATTAACGGAGACATGACAGCTTACACAGCACAAGGATCCAGACAGGTAAAAGGTCTAGAAATAGGCACTGCTAAAGCAGAATTACACTCACTATCTGACACACTAGAAACAAGAGAAAAAAGAGTAGAAGACAGACAAATGATAACAATTCAGAAAACAAAGTCTGGGATTTCAATATCCGAAAGAAAAGAGCAAGAGACTGAAAACATGAAAGCAGGAAGTGATGTTCCAGATTCAGTATCAGAAACAACCGCTGATAAAGGTTCAGAGGATGACAGGAATCTCGATGTGAAACCTCAGATGTCTGATGCAGAATCAGAAGTAACTACCTGGAAAATACAAATGCCATCATTAAAAATAGCCACAAAACCTAAACCTGATATGAAAGTACAAGGAGAAGAAATCACAGATGAATCATTTACCATTGTAAAAAACGTACAGACAAAAGAAGATGGCATGACCTCAGCAGATAAAACTTTGAAGATGGACATAGGATTGAAAACGGTAGAAATGGAAACAGAGGGAAAGGAAAGCAAATTCAGGCTGCCAAAACTAAAATTACCTACATTTACATGGGCAACTACAAAGGATGAGACAGGGAAAACAGAAACTCAGGTAAGCGACAGAGAGGAAAAATTGCAGACCTTAGCAGAGGCTGAAAAAGCAGAGATGAGTGTATCAGAAGAAGAAATGACGATAACAAAACCTGACATCTCAAAAACAGTACCAAAATCAAATATAAGTGACACAGATATAACAGGAATGCAAGGAAAGATAAAAAGTCTAAAACCTGATAATTTAAATGAATCATTGGCAGAAGAAACAAAAGAACTCATCCCTGGTGCCAAAACCGAAGGGGCCGGCTGGAAGGTGG